CCCTTCCCCCCCGTTCTCTCACTGTTCTCTGCCTGCCCGCGATCCCTCTGGGAATGCCGTGGGATTCGTGCCCAGCTGCCTCCCGCACCGAGGCTGCCCGCGGTGCCCTGCCCTGCCCGCAGTGCCCTGCCCTGCCTCCCCTTCCTCCCAAGGGCAAAAATATCCCATATGAGCTTCCAACGCAACATTTTCTCCTCCCCCTCCTCCTTATCCTCCTCCTCTTCCTCCAGCCGTGGCCCCGCAGCTTTTCCAGCCTGTGTTTTCCCTGTCCTGGGCTCATCCCCAGCAAAGCAGGGAAATGGGATTCCGCCCCCCTACCCCGCTCAGGTGGGACCTCACCTGCAGTGCCCCGAGGTCCAGCACCGGAGGATGTGGAGCTGCTGGAGTGAGGCCCTGGAGATGCTCCAAGGAGCCCCTCAGCTCTGGAGCCAAGGCTGGGAGCGTTCACCTTGGCAGAGAGAAGGCTCCAGGGAGACCTTAGAGCCCCGTCCAGGGTCTAAAGGGCCTCCAGGAGAGCTGGAGAGGGACTTGGGACTAAGATCTGGAGTGACAGGATGGGGAAATGGCTTCCCTGTGCCAGAGGGCAGGGTTAGATTAGATTAGATCCATGCACAGGCTTCCACCCAGAGAGTAACAGAATCACAGAGTCATGGAATGGTTTGGGTTGGAAAGGAACTTAAAGATCATCCAGTTCCACCCCTGCCATGGGCAGGGACACCTCTCACTGTCCCAGGTTGCTCCAAGCCCTGTCCAACCTGGCTTTGAACACTTGCAGGAACGGGTCAGCTACAGGGCAACCTGTGCCAGTGCCTCACCACCCTCACAGGGAGGGATTTCTTCCCAATACCACATCTAAATATCCCCTCTGTCAGTGGAAAACCATTCCTCCTTGTCCCACTGCCACAGATGCTCTGGCCCTGGGCTGTTCCCTGTGCTGTACATGACTTACAGGCTGGTTTTACATGCTGCAGGGAAGATGCAGTTTCCTGTATCTCCGGAGTTCTGGGCACATTCCCACTCTGGAAGGAACAAACATCCTTCTGAGATGCACTTCATGCATTAGCATTTTCTTCTTTAGCCCTGGACTGGAGCCCGTGATGAGCTCAGAGGCTGCACATTGAAAACCTCTCCTGAGTCAGTGGGAAAACAGAGCAGGCACTGATATCCCAATCCTTCTCACGGCCCTGGGAGAACTGTCCATGCTGTTCCCTTGGAAATCCCCCTCCACTGACCCCTCAGCATTTTGCCTCTATTTCATCTCCCTGGGGAGGTGGTGCTCTGTATCCACTCCTGGTCATTCCTCCCTCCTTCCAGGGATCCAGGGGCAGCCACAGCTTCTCTGGGCAGCCTGTGCCAGGGCCTGCCCACCCTCACAGGGCAGAATTCCTTCTTCAGGTGGCTTCCACCTCCCATTGACCGAGTTCTGTCCGTTCTCTGCCGCTGTCTCTGGACAAGGACAGTGAGGGATGTGCACCAAGGGGGGATGAGATGGGAAGTGAAGCACAGAGACGCTCTGGAAGCTCTGCCCTTCTCTCGTAAAAGTCCTTTATTAGAACGGCAAACGTGACACTCGTGGTCAGTACAGCGGCTGTGTGCAGCTACCATCGCGCAACACGGGGAGGGGAACGACGTCTTACAATCACTAGGACTCTAAGAAGCACCATGAACACCCTAAAGAACGGGGGATGACGGCTGAGAGAGGAGCCCCGGGTGAGCCGGCCACGGGGGCTCCTCAGGAACACCAAGGAGCCGCCCGGCGTTGTCCCGCAACGCGGCTCTCCGGCAGCTGGGAGCGACTCCTTGGTGGGAGTCAACGAGAGATAGCACCCATCCAATAAATTAGGAAAACTTAACGCTAGAGCAACGAGGGAATGAACGGGACTGTCCTGGAGGAGGGCACGCCGGGAGGGAATGGGTTATTTACACTTGTTTTTCTGCTGGGCCGGCGCTCCCGTCGTGTCCCAAGCGGAGCGGGGAAGGAGTGCCCGGCCCGGCTCCGCGGGGACACGAGCGTGCAGGCGCTCTCGGCTCGGCCACGGGGCTGGCACCGTTCCTCTCCCGCCTCTGAATTACCAGAAAGTCAAGCAGGGGATGGAGGCCGGCGGGAAGCGCCGGGCGCGTATTCCTGAGTGCGTGGCGGGGCTGTGGTCCAGCTCTCCTTCCTCCCCATCCCATCCCCACCCCCGGGCTCTGTGTCAGACCCTCACTGCAGAACCAATTCTCCGGTGATTGGAAGGACACTATCAGTTGAATTTAAGGCTAGGCTTTATATGGCAACTATAAAAAAATAAACGCTAATCTCCGAAGAGCCGGGCGAGGCTCTGCGGTCTATGGCTGTGGCGCGTGTGCTGGCACCGAGGCGTGGGGGGGTCCCAGGAGAGCCCCCCGTGGGCACTGGGCACCCGACCAAGGGCCTGCCAGCACCCGGGGCACCTGGGGACAGGACAGACCACCCCCTGCCCCGCAGAGATGCCCCAGGGGCAGGCGGGACAGAGAGGGGTGTTTTGGTAAGGACATGGAGACTGACTGGTAATCCAGGACCCACCTCTACACGTGACCGAGGGTGCTCTGCAAGAAAGGCCACAGGGGAAAGAAAGAATCCTGCAAAGTAACCGGGCTGGCGTGGGCAGAAGCGTTCCCGTGGTGGGGTCCCTCCGGCTGGCCCCACGGGAGGGGAAAGCGAGACGGAACTGCCCCCTCCCCCCCAAAAAACCCCAACTCAAATCAGGAAAACCAAACCTAAAAGCGGACACAGGAGAACAGCTCAGGCTACCTAGGTACTTCATCAGCCAAAGAGAGCTAAAGAGCGAAGCGCACACACACGGGACAGCGCGGAGACCGGAGAGCGGAGGCGGCCGAAAGCCAGGATCTTCCTTCCCGAATTGCGTCCCCGTCTCCGGCCAGAGGCCGAGCAGGGACCTGGTGGCCGAGCAGGGACCTGGCAGCTGGGCAGGGACACCTCGTCCTGCAGGAGGGAACGGGCTGGCTCCTCTCATCACACCGAGAAGAGGCAGCCGGCTCCGGGAGCATCCTCAGGGCATGGCCGAGCGCGAAGCGTAGAACTCGGGCACCGGCAGCCCGGTGTGCAGCGTCACCTGCAAGGAGAGACACGGATCTCAGCTGGGTCAGCTCGTGGCATGGCAGCTGGCACATCGTCCCCAGAGAGGGCAGGAGCAGCACAGGGGACAGGCAGGATGTGACCAGAGATGCAGGTGTCCCCAGAGCTGTGGCAGTGGCTCCATCTGGCTTGCTCCTCACTTTTCTGTGCTGCTGGAGCGAACTGGGACCGCTGGTACCGAGCCCAGAATATTCCCAGCTGGCTGTGTACAAATCTGGCTGCCAGAGAGGAGGGGCACGGCAGGAGCTGGGTGTTTGTGCAGGTGAGATGGACAGGAGGGGACTGGGGGGGCTAAAGGACAGTGAAGACATTACAAGAGATCCTGGAGAAGCCCCTGAGCTGAGTGGGGACGGGGACAGAGAGGGGACAGGGACAGTGGAGGGGATGTGGCTGATTGCTGGTGGGAGGAAGGAGCTTTGTGGTGGGGAACTGAGCAGCATCAGGATGTTGGGACAGGGCCATGCTCGCACAGGCACTGGTGAAATTCAATTCCCTCCACAAATGCTTTAATCTGGGAGGAAAGCACAATTCCTCCTTTTATTGCAGCAGCATTTTCCCCTTCAGATAAAGATTTAAAGAAAACTGTCTAAAATACACTGATTTCCCTCCTAATTAGAGTTGTTTTCAATTAGGCATATACCTCTGAAGAAGCATAATAAATGGCTTGGCTTAATTAGCAGCCTTTTATCAGTATCCCACGGGATTTCTGTGTTGTCAGGGGATTTAGGCTCTGCCTTGCCCAGGGAACTCACAAAGCCAAGGGGCTCCAGAAATCCCTTATGGCTGTGGAGAGGACTGAGGTAGGAATTAACCCCAGCACACAGCAGGATGTTTTTACCACACCAAATTAATACAGCACCTCTAAACCCAGCATAGACAACAGGGGCTTCGTTAGTGTTTCCTAATTAAACATTTCTCAGCTCCTCTCCAAGCCAGGCAGACTCCCCTGCCAGTGAGACCCTTGGGATGGGACACTTTGGCAAGGATGTTCCCAAAGTTTGGGATGGTCCCGACACACCTCAGTCCCAGTGCTGCTGGAAAATTGTCACTGCCTTGGTGACAGTGCAGTAAGCCCTGGATCCTGATGGACACAGCAGAGCGTGTCCTAATCCATGGATCCCTAATTTTGGTGCCTCTGCCCTAGCACAGAGGTGATTATAAAATCCTAGAATGGTTTGGAAGGGACCTCATTCCACCCCTCCATGGCAGGGACACCTTCCACTAGCCCAGGTTGTTCCAAGCCCTGTCCAGCCTGGCCTTGGGCACTTCCAAGGATCCAGGGGCAGCCACAGCTCCTCTGGGCACCCTGTGCCAGGGCCTCCCCACCCTCACAGGGAACAATTCCTTCCCAATATCCCATTCCCCCTTATCCTTTCGCTCCAGGCTCTGTTCCAAAGTCCCTCTCTAGGTTTGACACCACCCACTGTAGAAGACCCTGCCAAAATGCTCGACACCCTGAGATGATCCTTAGGTGTAACGTGTCCTTGGATGTGCCTGGGCACTTGTGCAGGGCTGGAGGTGCAGGCAGTGGTGGGAGGGATGTGCCAAAGCCAGGCTGTGGAGGATTCCTTGGCACAGAGGACAGCAGGGATGTGATCAGTGAGAAGAGAAATGAAAGATGGAAATACCGGATTGGCTCAGGGTGTCACCGCTTGGGGATGTTCAGGAGAGCTTGGGAGAGAGGGAGAGAAGAAGAGGGGTTTGAAATGTCCCAGAGGAAAACAGGCTTTGGAAGGTGCTCTTCTCCCTGGTGATGCTCCCGTCCAGGACCTGGGAGAGCTGTAGGAGCCAGTGAGGCTCTTGTGAGGGAGCATCACAAAACACAGTTCTCAAACCCCATCACAGGGAGGGCTCCAGCAGCCCTGAGGGAGGAACCTGGAGTGAGGAGCTCCCTCCAGGGAGGCCTGTCCTGATTCTGGAGACTCACAGGTGGTTTAGGGTGCAAGTTTAGCTCCTTCCAAGCCACCCTTGCTGCACAAGAATCCTCCTGTTCCTGCTCCTGAGCAGCAGCTACTGCAGTGACAGCATTCCTACTGCTGGGAATGTCACACCCTGCTCCAGTGAGCCCGACCAAACCCATACCTGCACGTTCCTGTTGAGGCTGACGGCGGGGAAGAAGAGGCCCTCCAGGTTCTCAAAGGCCACAGGTCCTTGCTGGTCCTCGTTGATGGAGAAGGTCAGAGTCCTCCTGGTCAAATCCAGCAGCACTCCCACTGTGGCGCCTTTCGTGATCCCGCCCTCGGTTCTGTGGGAGGAGAGAGCAGTGCCTCAGTGTCCCCCGTGCTCCTGGCTCAGGCCATCAACTCAAGGACTGATGATGGTGAACACCACAGCTCAGCCAGGAGCCAGGCCATGACCTGCTGCCATCCCAGCCATGTTCCTCATTCCCTGGGAACCTCCTCCTCCACCCTCCATGGAGCTGCTCTCCTCTTTGCCAGGATGTCCCCAAGGGAAAAGCCACCCTGAGAGCAGCCACAGCCACACAACCACGAGGGAAAGCACGTGGAACTGTGGAGCAAAGCCACAGCACCCACACCAAAACCTGCTGGTCCATCAGGGAACGGCCCTTGGGTCTGCAGGAAGGTGAGCCCAGGCTCTCCCCAAGAGAAGTCCCCAGTCCCAGGTGGAACACACGAGCTGTAGCTGTGGCACAGGGATCGAGACAAACGTTACTGCAGGATTTGGCTGGTACTGGGAAGGGGCTGCCAACAGAGTCAGCATGGAAAGAGTGGTGGCAAGCAGGGAAGGAATGCTGGAACAAGGCAGCACCAAGCAGGCAGAGCCTGATCCCCACTCAGGGAAGGGCACATCCTCCAACAGAGGAGACCAAGATTGATGTCACCCTCCCTGTGGACACTTGCAGGTGCCACTGTCAAAGCCACAGGCTCTTCCTTTGTTGGAGTCTGAGACACAGAGTGTGTGCCCTTGGCTCTGAGATCCAGGAGAACACTGAATTTCATACAACATGAAATTTATGGGTGTGTTTTCATGGTGTTACATGAAAACAACTGTTAAAGTTAGATAGAAAAGCTGAAAGTGTGAGTGTGTGAATTAGAGAGTTTCTTAAGTCACTGGGTGAAAAAGTTAGAGTTTAAACTTGTTTAGAGAGCAGAAGACAAGATGGAAGATTTAGGGTGTTGTTTCTTTTCCTTCTTTCTTCTTCATTTTAATTTTCTGGAGGGTTTTGGGTAGTAGGAGGTGATTGGATAGAAAATGTCACAGTGCAGCACACAGGTGATGGGTCATTGGGTCATTAAGAAAAATAATCCACGTGTCTGTTGTTAATTGGGTAAAAATAAACATAAATATAAAAAGACTGCACAGTTTGGGGCCATTTTGTGCCATCAGAACCCAAAGTTTGCCAGGCTGCAGTGAATTAAATCTGTGCAGAGAGTCTGGAGAGACCTGCCAAGTTCTGTGCTGACATCCTGATAAACACGAGAAACAAGATCCTGACGAGCTTTGGAGTTTCTGTCCTGACCCAGAGAACTGAGATAAACAGAGGGAGGATCCCAAAGGAGCTCAGCCCAGCAGGGACTGAGAAACCCAGGAGTGAGAAGAAATACAGAATCAGAAAAACAGATTAAAAAGTGACATTCCTTGTGCTGTGGTGTCCAGAGGGGGAACCCCTATCCCAACACCTACCTGTTGGTGTGGGAGTTGTTGTGCATGAACCAGCTGCGGTTGTTGTCCACGTACATGGCCCAGGCCTTGTCGTCCTTGCCCAGCATGGCATCCTTGAGGACGTCGATGCGAGCCACGCCGAAGGCCGGGTCGGGGTGGTTGTCGTAGCGATCGATGGACAGCTCCCAGTAGTGCAGCCCTTTGGAAAAGCCCGTTTTCCCCAGCACCACCCTGTCATCGTAGCTGTTGCAGGTGACAGTCAGGTTGTCGTTGGAAAAGATGATGTCGGCATGGGCAGAGGCGGGGTCGAAAGAGAACCAAGCGACTGGAACACACAAACAAGGCGGGGTTAGCGTGGTGGGGACGCGCCGGAGCCGCGCGGAGCCACACGGACAGGGCATGCTGCATGCAGGACACGGAGCTTCCACCAGAGAGGGACAACTTCCACCAGAGAGGGACAACTTCCACCACTGAGGGATGCTCTGAGCTCCTGTGGCTGCAGCTGCCAGCGTGCCTGAGGTTTTACAGCCAGGACTTGGAGGAGTTTGGCTCTTGCTGCTCCATGGCTCCCAGTCTCGGCTCGTGAGCCTGCAGGATCCTCAAAGCCTCCTAAAATTTGGTGCTGGCAGGAGATGTGATCCTCAGCAGGTCTCCAAGCTCTAACAGAATTATGGAATCATGGAGTGGTTGGGGTTGGAAGGGATCTTAAAGCCCATCTCCAACCCCTGCCATGGGCAGGGACACCTTCCACTATCCCAGGTTGCTCCAAGCCCTGTCCAACCTGGCCTGGAATGTAACTTACTCTCAGGATCAAGTGTTTTTTAATTTTCAGACTCAGGTCAGTGTGGGAAGGGGACTGAGGATCAGCAGATAAACTCTGTGTGTGTATTTAAGGGCTGTTTTTGGGAACCAAAAGCACACACAAACATCTTCATTTACTAAGATGTCACATCACACCAAGAAACCTCCCTGCCAAGCAACGAGCCACACCTAAGCCAAGAACTCATGGGAAGGCTGGAAAATGCCCCAAAACCTCCACGATTCCGTAGGGCTGCTGGTTTAAGTGCACAGGACTCGGTTACTGCAACTCTGACAGACACAGCGTCACGTCCTCGACAAGACACAGGGACGGGGATTCATTCACAAGCCACCAGCCCGGTTCCCCAGGTGGTTTCCTCCAGCTGAAAACCGTGAACTGACACATCCACAAAACACTCTGACGGCTTGAAAAATAAAAACACTCAGGTGAGACTGATTCACTGGTTTATTGGGACGTTTCACGAGACAGCTCCCATGCACGCGGCCGCCCCACGCTCCCCGCGCCGCGCGCGGGGGGTGCCGTACCTGCCACCATTTTTTTAATGTCAACTGTGGTCATTCCCAGGGAAAGGCATGCGGGAGAGAAAACAGCACGTCAGGTTGGGAAGGGAAAAGAAGGAGAAACCATTCCTGCTTGTCTGTGATTCCAGCCAGAGCACGGAGCTGTCGGCATTTCGAGAGGCGCGAAGGTGGGCTGGGGCTGCGGGGTGAGGAGGGAATCCCACAGGGCTGCAGGCTCCTTCTCCCAGGGCAACGAGCAGGACTGGCCCTGCAGACAGTCTGAAGAGGACAGGCAAGCAGCAGCCACCTTGCTTTAATTAGCTGCAGAGGGGGTAATTGCATCCACGGAATCAATGCCTTAATGAGCAGGGATATGGACTGAGAATCATGGAATGGTTTGGGTTGGAAGGGACCTTAAAGATCATCCTGTTCCACCCACTGCCATGGGCAGGGACACCTTCCACCTACCCCAGGCTGCTCCAACCTGGCCTGGGACACTCTCAGGGATCCAGGGGCAGCCACAGCTTCTCTGGGAATCTCTGCTAGGGCCTCACAACCCTCACAGCCAGGAATTCCTTCCTAAAATCCAACCTAACCCTGCCCTCTTTAGTTTAAAAGAGGAGGAGAGCAGAAGGATCAGTTCTTAATTACAGGGCCACTTCCAGAGGACTGACCTCAGGCTTCTCTTTAAAACCATGTGGGGGAAACCAAAATGCTTTTACATCATCATAACTTCTCCAAATGTGCCTCCTGCCCAGGGAGTCCCCATCCCTGGAGGGATTTAAAAGCTGTGTGGATGTGGCACTTGGGGACACAGCTCAGTGAAGGCCTTGGCAGTGCCTGGGAATGGTTGGACTCCCACGATCTTAAGAGGGATTTTCCCACTTCAACAATTCCATGATTCTGTCACATCTGGGAGCGCTCTGCAAGCAGGGTACGAGCAAGAAACGCTGCTCAGTCACCAAAGAAAAGATTAAAAAGCAAAAAAAAAAAAAAAAAAAGAATGAAGCAACACGCAGTAGGTGCCAGTTAATTGTAATTAAGATACTTGCCTAATTGGGAGTAAGGCGATCCTTGCGTGTCAAAATTGCATCCTATAAAGAGATACTACATTTCACACATCACAGCTAAGGAACAACAACCTCCTGACAAACACTCCTGAGCATTTCATTGGTAATTAAGCATCCAGCAGCCACGGGAGGCCTGATTCATTAAAAGCCAGAGGGCACAGAGCGGGGTGGCAAACACAGCCTGGGAGTTTGGAGTGTGGACTGTATAAAGTCTGACTGCTCAGGATGCCAAATTATTCTGCTTTTTTCCAGAAAAGAGGCAGGAAATTTTAGCCTTGATGGAGTATCTTGGCTGCTTGGTAAAGATTCTCTAAACTGACTGAGAAACCACTCCTTGAAGGACAGGGATTGAGGAAAAGGCAGCTCCTGCTGGGTGTGAGTGCAGCTGGAAAGGGGATCCCTGGGGGCTGACACTGCCTCAGACCCCTGCTAGCACCAAAGGGCTGTAGCTTCATCAGCTGCATGGGCAGGAAGTGTTGGGGTGCCCTTCATGCTCCTGGGCCTGACCATTGGCTGCAAGCACCTCATGGGAGCCAGGGACTGATCCAGGAACTTGTCCTGATCCAGGGGCCTGTCCTGATCCAGGGGCCTGTCCTGATGATCCAGGGGCCTGTCCTGATCCAGGGGCCTGTCCTGATCCAGGGGCCTGTCCTGAGCCAGGGGCCTGTCCTGAGCCAGGAACTTGTCCTGATCCAGGGGCCTGCCCTGACCTAAGGGCTTGTTCTGATCCAGGGGCTTGTCCTGATCCAGGGGCCTGTCCTGATCCAGGGGCCTGTCCTGATCCAGGGGCCTGTCCTGATCCAGGGGCCTGTCCTGATCCAGGAACTTGTCCTGACCTAAGGGCCTGTCCTGATCCAGGGGCCTGTCCTGATCCATGCACTGCATGGGACCGCACACACGAAGGGTGCTGGATTTTAGGGCCACCTCAGGGCCTGTTTTTCCCCCTTGTGCCCTGGGTGTTGGTGGGACAGCTCCTGGCTGTGCCTGTGCTCCGTGCTGTGCCAAGAGGCTCCTCCTGAGGCTGCTTTAATGAATCCTGCCCCGTGTCCCGACTCCGACACCGCTTTTCCAGGTCTCTGCGCATCGCTGTGCTCCAAGCTCTCCTGAGGGACACACAGACCCCGTTTTGGTGCTCAGGACCCCGTTTTTCCCTGGCCCCCCACCCCAGAGTGGGGCTGCAGAAGGTCCACACGCGGGTATCGCTCACGGCCAGCGCGGAAGGGTCCCGGAACACCGGACACAAAGGAAGGAACGTCCGTAACAAAACAGCGTTGGAAGCCATCAGCTCACAGCAGCACGATGAGAAATCAAACATAAAAAGCACAAAGAAAAGAAAGTTTGCAGGGTTCCCCACCCACCCCCAA